CTGTTACTGCCTTACCATCAAATATAAACCAGTGTATCCTATATCTGTTACTGCCTTACCATCAAATATAAACCAGTGTATCCTATATCTGTTACTGCCTTACCATCAAATATAAACCAGTGTATCCTATATCTGTTACTGCCTTACCATCAAATATAAACCAGTGTATCCTATATCTGTTACTGCCTTACCATCAAATATAAACCAGTGTATCCTATATCTGTTACTGCCTTACCATCAAATATAAACCAGTGTATCCTATATCTGTTACTGCCTTACCATCAAATATAAACCAGTGTATCCTATATCTGTTACTGCCTTACCATCAAATATAAACCAGTGTATCCTATATCTGTTACTGCCTTACCATCAAATATAAACCAGTGTATCCTATATCTGTTACTGCCTTACCATCAAATATAAACCAGTGTATCCTATATCTGTTACTGCCTTACCATCAAATATAAACCAGTGTATCCTATATCTGTTACTGCCTTACCATCAAATATAAACCAGTGTATCCTATATCTGTTACTGCCTTACCATCAAATATAAACCAGTGTATCCTATATCTGTTACTGCCTTACCATCAAATATAAACCAGTGTATCCTATATCTGTTACTGCCTTACCATCAAATATAAACCAGTGTATCCTATATCTGTTACTGCCTTACCATCAAATATAAACCAGTGTATCCTATATCTGTTACTGCCTTACCATCAAATATAAACCAGTGTATCCTATATCTGTTACTGCCTTACCATCAAATATAAACCAGTGTATCCTATATCTGTTACTGCCTTACCATCAAATATAAACCAGTGTATCCTATATCTGTTACTGCCTTACCATCAAATATAAACCAGTGTATCCTATATCTGTTACTGCCTTACCATCAAATATAAACCAGTGTATCCTATATCTGTTACTGCCTTACCATCAAATATAAACCAGTGTATCCTATATCTGTTACTGCCTTACCATCAAATATAAACCAGTGTATCCTATATCTGTTACTGCCTTACCATCAAATATAAACCAGTGTATCCTATATCTGTTACTGCCTTACCATCAAATATAAACCAGTGTATCCTATATCTGTTACTGCCTTACCATCAAATATAAACCAGTGTATCCTATATCTGTTACTGCCTTACCATCAAATATAAACCAGTGTATCCTATATCTGTTACTGCCTTACCATCAAATATAAACCAGTGTATCCTATATCTGTTACTGCCTTACCATCAAATATAAACCAGTGTATCCTATATCTGTTACTGCCTTACCATCAAATATAAACCAGTGTATCCTATATCTGTTACTGCCTTACCATCAAATATAAACCAGTGTATCCTATATCTGTTACTGCCTTACCATCAAATATAAACCAGTGTATCCTATATCTGTTACTGCCTTACCATCAAATATAAACCAGTGTATCCTATATCTGTTACTGCCTTACCATCAAATATAAACCAGTGTATCCTATATCTGTTACTGCCTTACCATCAAATATAAACCAGTGTATCCTATATCTGTTACTGCCTTACCATCAAATATAAACCAGTGTATCCTATATCTGTTACTGCCTTACCATCAAATATAAACCAGTGTATCCTATATCTGTTACTGCCTTACCATCAAATATAAACCAGTGTATCCTATATCTGTTACTGCCTTACCATCAAATATAAACCAGTGTATCCTATATCTGTTACTGCCTTACCATCAAATATAAACCAGTGTATCCTATATCTGTTACTGCCTTACCATCAAATATAAACCAGTGTATCCTATATCTGTTACTGCCTTACCATCAAATATAAACCAGTGTATCCTATATCTGTTACTGCCTTACCATCAAATATAAACCAGTGTATCCTATATCTGTTACTGCCTTACCATCAAATATAAACCAGTGTATCCTATATCTGTTACTGCCTTACCATCAAATATAAACCAGTGTATCCTATATCTGTTACTGCCTTACCATCAAATATAAACCAGTGTATCCTATATCTGTTACTGCCTTACCATCAAATATAAACCAGTGTATCCTATATCTGTTACTGCCTTACCATCAAATATAAACCAGTGTATCCTATATCTGTTACTGCCTTACCATCAAATATAAACCAGTGTATCCTATATCTGTTACTGCCTTACCATCAAATATAAACCAGTGTATCCTATATCTGTTACTGCCTTACCATCAAATATAAACCAGTGTATCCTATATCTGTTACTGCCTTACCATCAAATATAAACCAGTGTATCCTATATCTGTTACTGCCTTACCATCAAATATAAACCAGTGTATCCTATATCTGTTACTGCCTTACCATCAAATATAAACCAGTGTATCCTATATCTGTTACTGCCTTACCATCAAATATAAACCAGTGTATCCTATATCTGTTACTGCCTTACCATCAAATATAAACCAGTGTATCCTATATCTGTTACTGCCTTACCATCAAATATAAACCAGTGTATCCTATATCTGTTACTGCCTTACCATCAAATATAAACCAGTGTATCCTATATCTGTTACTGCCTTACCATCAAATATAAACCAGTGTATCCTATATCTGTTACTGCCTTACCATCAAATATAAACCAGTGTATCCTATATCTGTTACTGCCTTACCATCAAATATAAACCAGTGTATCCTATATCTGTTACTGCCTTACCATCAAATATAAACCAGTGTATCCTATATCTGTTACTGCCTTACCATCAAATATAAACCAGTGTATCCTATATCTGTTACTGCCTTACCATCAAATATAAACCAGTGTATCCTATATCTGTTACTGCCTTACCATCAAATATAAACCAGTGTATCCTATATCTGTTACTGCCTTACCATCAAATATAAACCAGTGTATCCTATATCTGTTACTGCCTTACCATCAAATATAAACCAGTGTATCCTATATCTGTTACTGCCTTACCATCAAATATAAACCAGTGTATCCTATATCTGTTACTGCCTTACCATCAAATATAAACCAGTGTATCCTATATCTGTTACTGCCTTACCATCAAATATAAACCAGTGTATCCTATATCTGTTACTGCCTTACCATCAAATATAAACCAGTGTATCCTATATCTGTTACTGCCTTACCATCAAATATAAACCAGTGTATCCTATATCTGTTACTGCCTTACCATCAAATATAAACCAGTGTATCCTATATCTGTTACTGCCTTACCATCAAATATAAACCAGTGTATCCTATATCTGTTACTGCCTTACCATCAAATATAAACCAGTGTATCCTATATCTGTTACTGCCTTACCATCAAATATAAACCAGTGTATCCTATATCTGTTACTGCCTTACCATCAAATATAAACCAGTGTATCCTATATCTGTTACTGCCTTACCATCAAATATAAACCAGTGTATCCTATATCTGTTACTGCCTTACCATCAAATATAAACCAGTGTATCCTATATCTGTTACTGCCTTACCATCAAATATAAACCAGTGTATCCTATATCTGTTACTGCCTTACCATCAAATATAAACCAGTGTATCCTATATCTGTTACTGCCTTACCATCAAATATAAACCAGTGTATCCTATATCTGTTACTGCCTTACCATCAAATATAAACCAGTGTATCCTATATCTGTTACTGCCTTACCATCAAATATAAACCAGTGTATCCTATATCTGTTACTGCCTTACCATCAAATATAAACCAGTGTATCCTATATCTGTTACTGCCTTACCATCAAATATAAACCAGTGTATCCTATATCTGTTACTGCCTTACCATCAAATATAAACCAGTGTATCCTATATTTGTTACTGCCTTACCATCAAATATAAACCAGTGTATCCTATATTTGTTACTGCCTTACCATCAAATATAAACCAGTGTTCCCTATATCTGTTACTGCCTTACCATCAAATATAAACCAGTGTATCCTATATCTGTTACTGCCTTAATTACCATCAAATATAAACCAGTGTATCCTATATTTGTTACTGCCTTACTTCAGGCGTGCTACTTAAGACAAAACATTCTTGTATTAACAGCCAATGTACATATAGTGGTTGGTTTCTCCCAGTCCTAACATATTGCAGATTGTTGTGTTTAAGATAAAATTCTGATGGAGAGAAAAAAATGCATAAAACTGTATGATGTAATACCAGACTTGAGCCAACATTTAACTTGTGGGCCTGAATTCATAGAATGTACATGGGGATTGTAATGAGAGAGGAGTGCAATGAAGCCAAACACACTGGTGATATGTACAGATGCACCTCCCATTATCAGATTGGAATATATACATATCACCATGGCAACACACAGTTTGGTGAACAATAGAACCGCCAGACCCACTGCCTCCTGATCCGTGGGCCGTAAACTGTGATGTTCAATAAAAATTCCAGCTCAAAAGGCCGCTGATTGAATTGTTTGACTGGGGCAGGTAGCTATATAGACTGCAGTGCAATCCTACGCCATGAGCATCAAAGGGTGAAGGAGAATTAATATCAGACCAGTACAGCAAAGGATGGAGTCTGGGTCTAAATAAATTCAAGTGTTCCTCAGTCTGATCTATCTGTCCATGTTGGATCATTTATATGATTTTGTGTGGCTATTCAGCCACTTAGGATCAGATTTATAATATTGCAACAACATGAACATATTGAAAAGAACCAGAGGTGATATCATGGTATAAAAACTTGGAGGTTGAATAAGTTTGAGAACTCGCAGAATGTACTGTTAAATTGTGTTCATATAACCTGTTTTTCTGTTTGATTGATCATATCTTTGTCAGAATAATTCATTTCTAGTATCATGGTATTACTATTTATGATCAAGGAATGAGTTAATCATTTTCTTACAGGTTAATGTTTTAACTCATGATCCTCATCATATCTCTTCTTAAACAGGACATTTATACTAACATTAAATCATTGTTTTGTCATGCATTTGATTTAAACAAATATTTTTTAATCTGTTGCAGGAGTTGATACACCATTTTTCATGGCGTTTTCAGAGATAGAATCTCCAGTTTATGTAAGTATACAAAAGAATTGTCTCCCCTTTTTTCATCTGTCTGTCCATTAATGTGTAGAATAATTATGAAGTCCAAATCTGTATAAAAGATATATATAAACTTTATTTATTTTACAAAAATAAAACAAGTTCTATCAACTTACACTTATCACTTGTTGGCCGGATGGTGGCGCCAGGGGTCTTATATAATGTGGGAGGAAACTGAAGCACCTGCAGAAAACCCACGTGGTCGGGCAGGTGACCCCATAACAATATTTTCCTGTATGATCAGGGAATCACACCCGGCCGACTTGCTGAAGTGTGTACTATCCACTGTGCCACTCGTTATTCCTCTATGCATGTAGATCTGTATTTGTGTTTAATTAATGTGTGCATTACTGATAGTTGTGAGTATTACACACACATGTATCTGAACTTTCAGATTAACCAATCAGATTGTGTTATACATCTCCTAAGGAAATTAAAAATCCATCTGTACCTGTGTGCAAGCTCTCCTGCTTGGAGGCTTAAGTCAGAAGGTCAACATTCTCTGTTCATTATTCAGCTTACCTAGTTGTCAGTCTGCTGCGCAAGTTTCATGTTCTAGTGTGCATATTTTAAAAACATTTATGAGATTTAAATTATAGTTATGTAATAAATGTAGTGATAATGCATATAAAACGATTTATGTTCCTAAACAATTGTCGGTTAAATGTTTATTGTCAGGAATGCAGGGGCATGTTTCCTGGTAAAACGTTATAACAGTTTTTATACCAAATATGGGCATCTCTTTAATTTGAACTAATGTATAAATAAAATGAGGTTGACAAGAAAACTTTTGATCATAGGGAGGTGGCACAATACAGTTGGACCTAACTGGGCACAAGCAACTGATTGACCAGCTCAATGTTCATCTGTTTCTGGTATTCGAGGGTGAACTACAGCGCCACCTCACTGTACTAAAACATTACACAGAGGACTGCTATTTCTCCATTATACCAGGTATGTATCTCTCACTGTACTGAAACATTAACATTATACCAGGTATGTTTCTCTCACTGTACTAAAACATTAACATTATACCAGGTATGTATCTCTCACTGTACTAAAACATTAACATTCATCTGAAATGGTATTCTTTATGTCAGTACACATTTCGACCATAAAATATACCTAAAAGGGCTTTTTCTTGGAAGTGCTTTAAGGGAGGTAACTCTGTCAGGCTTGTCTGGTCTGCCACCAGATACTGTAGAGGCAGGCTAAACTGATCACTGAGTCTCTGCCTACAATATAGTGATTAAACTCCTGACATATTGTTCCAGGATATCTTAATGTAACTATACAGCTGCTGAATGGCAAGTTATAGATGATTTACTTAAATAGGAATTAAAACACAGGTTTGATTATAGCAATAAGTCTATCTTATGAGAGGAAATCTCATTAAGTCTGTTAAAATGATGTTGCTGTTTTATTTCTTACTGTACAGAAAGGTAGGGAATCTAAAAGCATGTGTCCCTAATAGGGTCACTGTGTTATCTATTTGACCTTTGGCTATAATTTCCCTGAAGTACCACACAATTGGTTTCTATACCAACTACGGATTGATATAGGAAGGTTATTATCCCCCGCTTTCACCAAAACGGGGGATATTAATTTGGGTTTGTCTGTCTGCCTGTCACACTTCGTTTCCATGCTATAACTACAACAAATGTTAACTGATTTTCTTCAATCTTGGTCACAGGGTTAACTGCCTTAACGGCTCGGCCAAGTTCGATGACCACTTTCAGTAGACCCCATTTGGTAGAGTTATGGCCCCTGGAATAATGAAAAACTTCATTATCTGCCGAGCTTCGTTTCCGTGCAATAACTATAACAAATGTTATCCTATCTTCTTCAAACTTGGTCGAAGGGTAAAATGCCTTAATATTACGGCGAAGTTTGATGACCACTTTCAGCGAACTCCATTTGGCGGAGTTATGGCCCCTTGAATAACGAAAAACGTACGTATCTGCTGGTTTTTATTTCTGTGCAATAACTACTTCAAATGTTAACAGGTTTTCTTCAAACATGGTCCCAGGGTTAAATGCCTTAAGGGCTCGGTCAAGTACGATGCCCTTAAGTTATGGCCCCTTGAATAACGAAAAACATCACTATCTGCAGTTTCTGCTTAATTACTCTAGCAAATATTAGCCAAATTCTTTCAAACTCGATAACAATGTTTGTGTTCCTCTGTCTTTCCACCCATCTTGGACTCTCTTTGGTTTTCGTATGATAATATCTGTCGATATTGTTAAGGTGTTTCTTATGCACATTCAACTCATGCTAAGTTTGCCAACCAATGTGATTTGTGCATATTTACGGATAATCAATGAGGTATAGGGCTTTTTTGTTTTCTTCATGTTTCAAGCTATACATTATGTCTCAACAGCACGATACTCACATGTTTAAACCTAACCTCAATAATGTTAACCTACAATATGTCCTGCAAGAGGGGGATATAAATTCCACGAATTTGCTTGTTATTGGTACACATGTATATCCTGTGCCCTATCATAGATTGGTTTGACAATGTATCGAGTAAAACAAAAGACTTAAGAAAAAGAAAAACATTGACCTTCGAAATTGGTAGCAATAAGATAGGTGACAAATTGATATATCCTAGTTTTACTGTATAGAGACAATACATGTGGTAGCACTACACATCATATAATGTGTTTACTCATAGTATGTTTAGGGAGAATTTCTGTTGATAATACAGATGTATTCTGTACCCTGACAGAGAATTTTTTCACCAAAGATTGTCAAGTCTCGAAATTATTTTTAAAAAACACTTATTAGTAGCCAGTCAGACTAGTAGTTTCCAATTTTACTACTCCATTGTGCCAATTCTACTAAACCAATACTATTCAATATGATATCAACTGGGCCAGCAAATTTTAGAACCACTAGTTCAGCTGGAGATTTGAGACTAGTGAGCTACCCTTATTGTCTAGCCGTGATTGAGTATACCAGTTTCTGGACAGACAATACAGCTGTAGACTAGAGACCTTGTCATCGAGGTGTAGACACTTACACACCACAAGGTCACCTCAGGACCGGTAATCTATATAGTATAGATGACATCAGCAGGAATCGGTGAATGATGATTATCTATACCAATCAGACACCTCACAACAATTCTGATTTCTGTTGGTCAATCAAACACGACCATCATATTTTACAAGCAATAATTTCTCATTTGGCTGCTGGTTTTTCGTAGTATATATAATTATAACGAGGTTGCTATGAACAGAGGACAGTAGAGGTAATGCCATATTGACACAGTGTGTCCACACCTATTGTGTGTAATGATATAAGGGCCGAAGCTGATGAGGGGAGGCTAAGATGTGATGGGCTATAGGGGTGAGGCGAGATGACTGTCTCCTGGGATTAGGAAAAAGGTTTACAGGTCAGCAGGAGGATTTCACCTTGTATTACCAGGAGGGGAGGTAGATCATAGGGTTGAGGAATGTCTTTTACTAAGGGGATTGGTTGTGTTGGAGCAGGAGGATTTCACCTTGTATTACCAGGAGGGGAGGTAGATCATCGGTTTGAGGAATGTCTTTTACTAAGGGGATTGGTTGTGTTGGAGCAGGAGGATTTCACCTTGTATTACCAGGAGGGGAGGTAGATCATCGGTTTGAGGAATGTCTTTTACTAAGGGGATTGGTTGTGTTGGAGCAGGAGGATTTCACCTTGTATTACCAGGAGGGGAGG